CCCTCTCCCACCTCCTCCCTCCCTAGGTCACGTCACCACTCAGCCGGTATAGTGTGTTCAGGACTACGAAAAGCACAAGGAGGGAAGGTATGTTAACAATTTATACATAGACTAGGGATAAAATTTACACAAGTATGATTACACAACTTTGATCAAGTTCTTGCCTCTGCATTATGAGTACACTGAAACACCTGCAAAGATGACTCCAGACGTCGTCTACGTGCTGTTGGCGTACATGAAAACCGCCAGGATGAGGCCATACAGCCCTAGAACCTCAGCGAAGATGAGGATGAGGATCATGGTGATGAAGAGGCGGCCCTCCCGCGCGTTGTACCGCACGCCGTAGTCACCGACGACCCCGATGGCGTAGCCGGCCGCCGCGCCCGCGCCGCCCACCGTCACTCCGGCCCCAAAGTGCAGCAGTGCCCTGGATCAGAAAAACACATGACACATGACCGTTTGCTTTCTCAAAAGGCGAAACAGAGGACTGGGGAAAATGTGTAAAAAGTGGCTGTTGTACTTACACGAAGAGGGTGTATTCCGGAGGCGCCTTGAGGTTTGTGATGATGAGGATGGACACGACCAGCCCGTAGATGGCGACGATACCGGCCATGACCACGGGGATGATACTCTTCATGACGAGCTCGGGCTTGTGCACGCCCACGGCCGCGATGGCCGCCCCGGACTTGGCGGTGCCATAGCACGCGCCCCACGCTGCAACAAGAGGGGGGAGGCTTGTTGTCGACCTTGCCCAGGGTCACACTTCATTGGTAAAAAAAAAGAAGTGAAAAGGGGCGTAAGTCGAATGGGAAGTCCGAGGACTTACGCCCTTTTCACTTCTCACCAGGGCAGCGGCGCACCGAGCCGTACACAGCGGCGCGGGAGCGGGTTTTAGTATTATTGCGCGCGAGAGAGACGCGACATGTCCGCGTGCATCAGACAAAGAGAGAGAGAGAGAGAGAGAGAGAGAGAGAGAGAGAGAGAGAGAGAGAGAGAGAGAGAGAGAGAGAGACGAGCGAGAGTGGTGGCCCCACGACCTGTCATCCCTCTAGCTCACGCGGTCACCGTCTCGCTCCCTCCAGTCTGCCCCCCGCGACACACGCCCCACACGCCCCTGACTCACAGCTCAGCGTGATGGAGGCGGCGGCGCCCATGACGCCGATGAAGGGGGTGTAGATGGGCACCCCCTGGATGTAGGGCCAATCGGTCGCCGTGCCGTCGCTCGCCATCCTGACGTGTGGTGGAGAGACGCTTTGATCACGCCCCAAAACAACAAAACTTTTCGGCTCGAGTCACACACACGTACACGCGCGGGGGGACGATGACTGGAGAGCGACGACGGCGGCTGAGCAAGGCACGAGGCTCGACTGGGGGCCTGTGCATGTGACGGGCCGTGACGCCATGATCGGCAGAGATAAGAGAGTGGACATCGATAAGTCGCCGTCAGTCTGAGCAGGAGAGTCTCGCGGAGGTATCCGCGGGCGGTGCGCCCGGCTGCCCAACCAGCTCGGCGCGCGGGCTCCCGAACGCGCTGACTTGGCTGCCTATCTCCGGGGCGTCAGCGCCGCCGCCGTGCGGGGCAGGCTATGCACTCGGCGCTTGACGCCCGTCGGGGTGAGTGGCTGCGGCAGGAGGGAAGGCTCATGGGAGAGGGATGTGAGGGCTCGGGGGAACGGGGCGAAGGGGGCAAGTGGGGGGCCGAGTGGAGGGGGGAGGGCTGAGAAACACAACACCACACCGGACGGACGGGCGGCCGTTGCCTTCTATCCTCTGTGCTCCTCTGTTATGCAGTACTTTATTTATATGCACGAAAATTGCCGCATAAAATGAAATGAGTTCCTTTTCCTCTCAAACCGGATGATTGAATGTTTGCTCGGCGTCGGCAGCCCCGAGCCGCGCGCTCGCGAGTGAGGGAGAGGATTACACGCCCACATGGTGTACATATGCAGGGGCGGGGGGAGATGGGCAGAGAGGGGGGCTTGGGCCGGCCGGTCGGGTCGGGTTGGGGTACCTTTAGTTGGGGTCCGCTCCCATGTCTGGTGTGAGGCTCCGGACGGGCTTTTGACGCCCGGC